AGAAAGACAAGCAAGTTTGCAAGCACTTGGCCATTTAAGTGGAGTTAGAATAATCACTCCCCAAGACCACCAATGTTTTCCCCTTGCCACAGTTAAAGCCTGGCTCCTTCTGGTGGAATCCAAAGACCATCAACCTCACCGGGTGAAATCGGAAATATATTCCCAGACCAATTTGCAGTTACTGAATTACAACCTTAACAACACTTCTTGGTGACTCCTATTTAAGTTAAATTTGAGAGTCGCTAAGTTTCTCCCTCATGTCTTAGGAATTAAATACTCATGATGAATATTGCACTGGTGTGTGTGTGTGTGTGTGTGTGTGTGTGTGTGTTTTCCAGTACTAGGGCTTCGATTTAGGATCCCTTTCCCTTTTTGGGTCTCAAATGTTTGCTCAAGATCAACCTCAAAACAAAACCTTACTATCTATAGTTTTACATGGTACTATGGATTGAATATAAGGCCTTACACCTTCCTTACCACTTAAATCAAGTCTCTAGCCATCTACCCTCCTACTTCTGTGGCCAGTGTAGCTAGGATTACAGGTATATAATTACCAAGTCCAGCTAGTTTATAGAGATAGGATCTCACTAACTTTTTTGCCTGGCCTGGCCTCAAACTTCCATCCTCCTATCTCTGCCTCCTGTTTATTCTTCTGCCTCTTCTTAGAGGCATGAGATACACCCCCAAAAATCTATATAACAGAAATGTTTTTTTAAATTGTTTTTTAAAACTTACTAAAACATCAATAGATTCCACTATATAAATCAAACTGAAACCATCTTTATTTTCCTATAGAAAGAAAGTGGAAAAAATTATTGTCAAATATCTCTACATGTAATATCTCTTGTCTATATCTACATATAGATAAGCCCTATAGAAATATAAACAAAAAACATGAACAGGTAAGACTTGGAGATATTCTAAAGAAACATTCAAAGGACTACACAAAGAAATTGATCCAAAAGATGGCACACTGATAGTTTATCACGGTTTCAAAGGACTAAAAATGGCACGTGTAGGCAGGGTCTGTAGAAGTGAATATTCATGTATTCTTGATGGAAATATCTCTTCTGGAAAGAAGTCCAGAACCCATGGCTAAACCTCAAATATGAATTGCCATAGGGAGGGAGTCTTGCCATTTTACTAAAGTAGAGCAACCTGTGTACAAAGATGTCCATTGTAGCATTGCTAATATTAAAAAACAAAAAGGTACTATAGAGATAGGCACTGGTGGCTTGCACCTGTAATCCTAGCCACTCTGGAGACTGAGAGCTCAGCATCACAGGTCAAATCCAGCCCAGGCAAAAAAGTCCATAAGATTCTTATTGCCAATTATCCATCAAAAAGCCAGGTGAGGATCAAGTGGTAGAGTGTCAGACCTCAGCAAAAAAAAAACTGCAAGAGCATGAGGCCCTGAGTTCAAGCCCCAGTGCTGTCCTTAAGCTTTTTTTGCTCAAGGCTAGCAGTCTACCTCTTAAGCCACAGCGCCACTTCTGGCTTTTTCTGAGTTTAATGGACATAAGAATCTCACACTTTCCTTCCCCAGCTGGCTTCAAACCATGATCCTCAGATTTCAGCTTCTTGAATACTTAGGATTAAAGGGGTGAATCACTAGCACCCTGCTAGTATTAACATATTTAATGGAGTACACAGAAACTAGTTTTCTTTTTTTTTAATTTAATTTTATTTTATTTGTTAACATACTGTACTGAGGGGTTACAATTATATGGGCAGGATAATGCGTACATTTCCAGAAACTAGTTTTCTTAAGGATACTTTGAGCACTAATCTAAACTATGGCATAACAGATCATTTTTTTTTACTTTTGATAATTAATTTTTAAAGATGTTAAATTGAAATTGAAGAGGCAGTTATATAAAAGCCAATCAATCAGAAAATCTAAAGTACATACTGAAAAAATATTCAACAAAACAGAAAAATCTTACTTGTTTTCTCATCATTTTCACTGTTAGTCAGAGAAACAGATCCATTTCCTTGGTTTATACTCATCAAAATCTGTTGTAGTTGGTCTTGTGTTAGACACACCAAACTGCTACTCATGTTTGCAGTTATGTTGTGTTTTTTATGAGGTTTCTCTTTAATTACTAAAGATGGATTTATGGTGTTTCAAGTCTTCTTTAGGGGTTAAAGATGATACTTCTGTTTGGACATGAAGACAGACTTTATCTTCATACTGCTTATAGAAATCCTTAGTGGGTGTAACTGTCATTCTATTCTTTTCACTTTTTGACTGTGAAGTTTCTGAACCAACTGACTTCTTTTGCAAAAGTTTTTCATTCCCAATATAAGAATTTTGTGTTAACTTTAGAAGGTGTCCAGTGTGCTTTGTTCTTAAAGGACATTTTGTAATCTTGCTCTTATTTCCCATCTGTTAAAAAAAACTGTATATTTTTTCATGTACTGCTGTCTTGGAAAAATAAACTTTTGTGGTTGTTGTTGTTGTTTGAGACAGGGTCTGATTATGCAGCCCAAGCTGGCCTAGAACTCATAATACTTTACCTCTGCCTTTAGAGTGCTGCGATTAAGACGTGTACAACACCCTAACAATTTTCTCTTATCTTAACGTTGTAACTACCCACAACTGTAACTTGTCCATAACCTCAATTTCAATTATTGAACGACGATCATCTAATTTTTTTCCAACTCACTTCCTCCCATATCCCAATTCCAACAACCTTCATCTGGACTAGGGTTTGCAATCTATTGATACGACATTCCTCTGGGTCTCATTTCCCTTCTTAACAATCTTAAACCTTATTTTTCCATTTTTTGGTCTGTTTTCTGTCACAAATACTTAGCAATTCCCATCTCTGGCAAGACAACTTTACAAGTCTGTAACTTCACCCACAGAGAAAAATAGCCATGCTAACTGGTTTCACTTAAACTTATAACCAAGAACATAAGCAAACAGAGAACCAATACACATTACACATGAAATCTATCATAATACTAAATTTTATGCATCTGAACACTGACAGCAGAAAGCACTGATGTCTTTTGACTTTACTTGGCTAAAATGAATTTGAAGAAGTGGGGAAAACAGCTTTTTCAATGTATTTAAATATCACTTTATTTTAAGTAAATAATATTGCTAAGTATCATAAATTTTATGTAGGAATTTTGAAGTCAATATTTTAGATTTCCAGTTACACAGCATACCATATGGAGATATTATTATCTTGGTTTTTCCATCCAGCAGTTCAGTTTCCAACTTTAAACCATCTCTGCAACATGAAAAAAGTTGTGTCATTATTAAGAAAAAGCAATGTTTTAAATAGCCTGAACTTTGAAAGTATATCTATTCCTTTGAAAATATAGGATAGGAATATTGTACATATCAGAACAGTCTTTTAATTTAAAATGTTTTTCACTCCACAGGAAAACTACAGGGAGAAAAAATTTTCTTAAAAACTTTCAATAGGGACTGGGAGGTGGATCAGTGGTAGAGTGCTTGCCTTGCATGAATGAGGCCCTGGGTTCAATTGCTCAGCACCACATAAGCAAAAAGAAAAAAGCTGGAAGTGGTGCTGTAGCTCAAGTGGTAGAGCACTAGCCTTAAGCTGAAGAGATGAGGGACAGCGCCAGGCCCAGAGTTCAGGCCCCATGACTGGACCACCAAAAAAATTAAAAAACAAAAACTTTTCAATGATCCAAGAATTTGTCATCTTCAAAACGCAATGTGATTTTTAAGGTTGGTAAGCAATAATTAGTTATCATACTATTTTTGTGGATTAGTTGTGGGGTTTGAACTCAGTCCCTGGACACTGTACCTGAGTTTATTCACACAAGGCTAGCAATCTTTGAACCACAACTCCACTTCCGGTTTTCTGGGTTAATTGGAAATGAGTCTCATGAATTTCTAGACTGGATTTGAACTGCAATCCTCAGATCTCAGCCTCCTGAGAAGCTAGGATTACAGCAATGAGCCACCAGCACCAGGTTTCATACTATCCTTTAACTTTTAGTTCTAGACTGAAAATAAAAAATAATGCTGTTACTAAAACTCTTCAAGTAGGTAATGGAATAAGGCAGATCTAGCTAACATTTATTGGTTTCATAATGATCTCTTTGGCTAACATTCTGTGGAGTCCTGAAAATGATTGCTAATGTCACAAAGTTTTAGTTTTTGAGTATAGAGTTCCACTTTAAAAAGATATTTTTAATAATACATATTAACATTTCATAACTCTTTTGCTACTATCACGACAATATACTTTGGCTACTATGATAGATCCAATGCCAAAAGCATGAGCATAAAAAATGGTGGGTACTACCAACAACACTTGTGCACCTGCTACAGTCCTAAACAAAAATTACACTAGAAATAAAAGTAGCATATTGTAAAAAAAAAAAAAAATTGGAGGGGGAAAAAAATGTGCCAACACTATTTTGAGACAAAGGCAGACAGAAAACCAAATCCAGTCTCAAAAGAGAAGGACTGGGAAAGGTCAGATTACAAAAGCAAAATTTACAGCTTTGCCCAAGTAGAGAATACAAAT